AACCCTATAAACCCTGAACCCTAGACCCTAAACCCTAAACCGTTAAGGCTATGTATGCTCAAGAAGGGCCTAGCCTGGGGTTCGGGCCTTCCTGGGCCCGAAATCCTAAACTAGACCCTAAACCCTAAACCCTCAATCCTAAACCCTAAACCCTAAACCCTCAAGCCTCAACCCTAAACCCTAAACCCTCAATCCAAAACAAAGCCCTTAGCCACCAAACCCTAAGGCCTTCCTGGGGTTTGGGGCTGCGGGCTCTTGAGTTTGCAGACCCTGGGCTGAGCTCAACTCGAAACCCGAGAACCATACGGGGTTTAGGGTTTAAAGTTTAGGGTTTAGGGTTTAGGGTTTAGGGTTTAGGGTTTAGGGTTTGGAGTTCTCTTTTTCAGGATCGCTATCCTAGACCCTCCATCTAACCTCTATTCGACCCTAAATGCCCAATTTGTTGGGACCAGATACCCCTATTTGAGGTTACAGGGAGGGTCCTGGATAGTTTCTTTTGTCGGAAGTGACAGCTTCGGGGTAAGGGGCTGAAGAACCAGACTTGGGAGTTGAGGATATCCTGTCACCCCTCTACACCCCGCTTGAGGCCACTATGGCTTTCAGGGTACTTGGAGGTTCATGGGTAGTTATAAATGAGGTTATAAGTAGGGTAGCTATAATTATAGCCCAGGTTAAGGGACTTATAACCCCACTTATAACTACCCATGAACCTCCAAGTATTACACCTCAACTCCCGCTTGAGGCCACTATGGCTTTCAGGATTATAGGATCTACAGGAGCAGGCTTTAGGATTTAGAGTGGAAGGGTTTAGGGCTGACGGAGTTTGGGGTTTGCGGTAACTGTATGGTGCACGTTCCGTTTACCGGTTCTCGAGGATTGCCGCCGAAGTCCAGAACTCGTCAAGACCACTCAATGAATTGAAAAGGGATTTGCTTTGTGGTCCATCGTAGTACAAATCTACATAATAGACGGCATGGGGGCCTACTACTGTATGCCAACCATCCAGACCTCTGCGCGTCAGACCTCTATGTAAACCAGGAGTAGGTGCGCTTGTTGGTCGTGAAGACAGGGTCCGTGGATTGCACCTCGTGGTCACAGACTCAGACTAGAGAGCTTTGGTCACAGGGATGAAGGGCTGTGGCTCCAGGCTCCAGGGTGGTGGATGCTGTCTTCCGGGACTTCGTGGGGGACAACTAGCCACCCGCCCTCATGCAAAAAAACTCTCAACCCCCAGCCCTGGACCCCGAGCACGAAATTAACCCGCAACTCTAAACCCTAAGCCTCTAGGTTGGACAAAGCCGGCTACAGGAGGGTATTCAGAAAGGTGCTCTCTCAGCGACAGAAAAAAGCGCCAGAAGAAATCTCCATGAATCAAAAGTGTTTTTTGGAATCTTTGGGAAAACACGAACCCCAAAAAACATTTGGAGCGTGGAGCCCAAGGTGTTGGGCTTCAGCATCCAAACGACCCCCAAAACTCTGTTAATGTAGGGGCCCTAATAATTTCAATAGGATTCTGGTGGTTCCTTGCTATGAAATAAATAAATGTACTAATCAGAAAAGAAGAATAGTAATGAGAAGAAGAACGGGTTTACAACAAAAGCTGCTATGGGGGCTTTCGCTTCTGTGCTACCTCTACACGCAACCTGCCCTTGAAAGTAGCCGCTGCTGGCGATTGGCATCCCTTCCAACGAAACCCTAAACCCTAAACCCGAAACCCTAAACCCTAAACCCTGAACCCTAAGCCCTAAACCCTGAACCCCTGACATAGGAACCTGATGAAGGAACCATGGGTCTTCTTTAGGGTCTTAACATGAAGCCTCATATATTTAGAGTTATAAATCAGAGACTCCAATGTTCTTTAATTAAAGAATATTCCTTAAATTATAGTAGGATCCTTCATATGATTTAAGGTATATTCCTTAATTAAGGGATATTGGAGTCTCGGGGAAATCAGGTTCCTACATGACAACCCTTAAAGCCTTCTCGAACTATTGAACAACCCCTCTAGAACCAGCATGGAACTCTTCATAATGTAGGGGCCTTAATAATTAGAATGGGCTTTTGGTGGGTTCCTTATTAAAAAGTAGAGTACAGGGGGCCCCAAAACCCTAGTCTAATTATTCAGGCCGCTGTAGTAGGGCCCTTTATTGCCAGAACCCGTGCTTCCCCTCTGAGGCTTGCTCTGCGATGGGGTTGACCGAGTAGTAGTTGCCCGGGTAGTTCTCGAAGCTTTTGACAACTCGGCGTGTTCGGCGGCTCTGAACCACTACCTTACGGTTGCCATATGAGCATAATGCAGTACCCCCTAAACGGCTCTGGCAGGTTTACTATTTTTCTAAATGGTAAACCTGGCCCCAAGCTCAAAACGCAACAACGAGAACCGCAACAACAAGAACCCTGACACTGAACCCATAAACGGTTCTGAGACGGTTTAGGCACGCAGCCCTTCCCTCACAACACCCTAAACCCTAAACCCTAAACCTTTGTAGGCGCCGGGTTAAGTTGCTCCCCCCGCGCATTCCTTGGGATTAGAGCAAGGATGTCTGGATATGAAGGAGCTTCAGGAAGGGGTTTAGGGTTTAGGGTTTAGGGCGCACGGTTGGGGGCTCATGGTTTGCGGGCTGTGCTTTAGACTCAAAGACTAGAACGCCGTAACCCCTGGTGCGAGCCCCAGCACCCCCATCTACCGGGAAGTGGAAGCGGTGGTAGTCCTGAGGCGCCAAACGCACCTGAGTTGGGGCGAGGATGGCAGACTTCAGCTAATATGGAGGCCTTCATAATTAGAATAGGATTTTGTGGTATATTATACTATAATCACTATAATCAAATAAAGGAATCCCCCAAAATAATGTGCTTAATTTTATTGAGGCCCCCACATTAATTAAGCCCCCCACATTAATTACAGTGGGTCGGGTTCGGAAAGGACTCGGGGTTGACGGTTCAGGGCTAAGCTTCGGAGTTTGCGATTTCAGGGTTTTGGGTTCTGGCTCATCCGGCTTAGGGTTTAGGGTTTCGGGTTTAGGGCTTAGGGTTTAGGATTTAGGGTTTAGGGTTTAGGGTTTAGGGTTGATGATATAAATCCTGCATTTCCCATAATAATATAAGGAATATACCATAATTCCCAGCGTTTAGGGTCCTTAAGCTAATGCAGGATTTATATCATCAGCCGTAGTTCAGCGCTGGCTAGTCGGAGCTCGTCGGCCCTGCGGGCTTTGGTCTTCAAAGTAGCTTCGGGATCATGGGTTTAGGGTTTAGGGCTTAGGTTCCGAATCTCGCCCGACCCCCAGGTGAAACCCTGAAATGCAAGCCCTCTGTGGGGGTTTGAACCAGAAGGGAGCCCAATATCGACCCTCTTGATAGTACGCAGGATGCCTATGAGGAGAACCCCGAAGTGAGGAAGCGGGGAAGCCCTGATTTCGAGAAACCCTTGCATCTCCAGCCCTCAACAAGACAACAACGCACTCATTGCTATGAGAAACGAATCCGCAAATCCGGAACCTTTCAACGGATCTAGCATGGAAAGCTTCGGGTGTCTAGGGTTTTGGCCATGCAAACTACTGATACTATGGCTCACCATGACTGTGACGACAACCCTCCACAACAAGAACGGCCCTAGACCCAAAGTTTCTCTTCGCTAAGCCTTCAACCCGAAGACCCAACTCCGAACCCCAAACAACAAATCTAAACCCTAAAAGGGCTTGGGGTTTAGGGTTCAGGGTTTCGGGGTTTAGGGTTTACGGTTTTGGCGTTTCGGGGTTTCGGGGTTTAGGGTTTAGGGTTTTGGCATTTCGGGGTTTAGGGGTTTGGGGTTTAGGGATTTTGGGGTTTCGGGTTTAGGGGTTTGGGGTTTAGGGATTTTGGGGTTTCGGGTTTAGGGTTCAGGGTTCCCCAAACACCCAAATCTTAACAAACCAGAAAGGCAGCTCCAACCTCCGACTCCCTGGGCTTTGGGGCGAGGCGCGATGAAGGCGACCCCGTGATCGTAGTACCTTCGCAGGGGAGAGGGCCTACAGAGTTGAGGGTTCGGGTTTAGGGTTTAGGGTTTAGGGTTTAGGGTTTAGGGTTTAGGGTTTAGGGTTTAGGGTTTAGGGTTTAGGGTTTAGGGTTTAGGGTTTTGGCATTCGGCTTGGGCTGAAATGAATTTGGAGGCTCAGGAGTGCAGAACTCAGGCCTCAAGCTAGTCGTTCCTCTGGATCTTCCGGCATGGGCGTTCTAGCGTCAACTATTCATAATATGAAGCCCCGTTATAATTTAAGCCATATTCCTTCATTAAGGGGCGTTCTAGGGTCAACTTTTGCAAAACCCGGAATCAAGAAATTGTAATGTGGACGCACTTGCTAAGATTTCGGTTGGGATCTTCTTGATCTTCGAGCCCTTTAAAGCAAGCGGGTTCATTAATCCCTAAACCCAAAATCCTAAACCCTAAAACAATAAACTCTCAACCCCTAAACCCCCAACCCCTAAACCCCTAAACCCCTAAACCCCTAAACCCCTAAACCCTAAACCCTAAAGAGGGTCTTCTTTCATGACCACACCCAGGCTCCTGTAGTCGCTGTCGCGCTTGAAACTGACCTTCGGAGCATCGGGGCGCTGGACAGAGGGTTGAGGGTTTAGGGTATCAGGGTCTAGGGTTCAGGGTTTGAGGTTTGGGTTTAGGGTTTAGGTTTTAGGGTATCAGGGTTTAGGGTTCAAGGTTTTGGTCTTTTAGATTTTGAGAGTTTAGAGTTTAGGGTATCAGGGTTTAGGGTTCAGGGTTTAGAGTTTGAGGTTTAGGGCTTAGGGTTTAGGGTATTAGGGTTTAGGGTTTCCGGGTTTAAGGTTTTAGGTTTAAGGCCCTCTTCCGTCCAGCAAGTGGTCTGGCTACCTGGTGTTTGGGGTTCAAGGTTTCAGGTTAAGGGCGCTTGGGGAGCTCGGGGGATAGACCGTTTTGAAAGTTTTCGGGTTCAGGGGCGAAGGGTGCCAGGATCGGGGTCGAAGATGTGACGGTCAGTGGTGCGGGTAGTACTTCAAAGTTCATGGGACTTTGCAAGAAAGGTGGTAAGTTCTTGCATTGGGGTTATTATAATAAGTAGTTACAAGGATGGTTACTGTATATATGTATGTGATAACCCTAGTTACTAAGTCCCATGATCCTTTCGGTATGTACATATGTAGCTGTATATAGATAGAGAGAGAGAGAGGGAATAAAATCAAAGGCATACCTGCAGGTGCACAGACTTGAATCCGGACATAAACGTCTGCAGTTGCAGTTACATCCACAAGCACCTGCTCAACGCACACATTGTACATGCACGTATACATTGTCGAACGGGTCCAGAAGTATACGGGTGCTTACAAACACGACTACATACGGGAAACCCACCCCCATGTGTGGTGTATATGTACGTAACATATGTGTGTATGTATGTATGTATGTATGTATGTATGTATGTATGTATGTATGTATGTATCTACGTATGCATGTATGCATGTATGTACGTACGTACGTATGCATGTATGTATGTATGTATGTATGTATGTATGCATGTATGTAGTTGCATGCACATCTGAATGTGCATGTACACACGTATGGTTACATGGAAGCCATACATGTGTACGTAAACAAGCATCTGTACATGTACGCAACTACGAACTTACATAAGCACTTTCAACATACATGCATTCATGTAGCAAATATGAATGTCAACAGACGTGTTGCTGGTGTAACTCCATGCGAGCAAGAGCGAGAAGAGAATTCGAGCACACCGTGGATACATGCACATACATTCTTAAAAAAAATACATAGGTTCATGCATACCCAGTTCGGTTATGTGTGAGCACATACATCACATAGGTGCATCTACGACGGCTTGCAGCCTAAGAAAGCAAAACGTCCGAGCAGGGCCAAGCCACCAAACTCTGCAGCAGGAACTGCTCGCCCTTGACCCAGAAGCCTGGCAGCAGTCTATACTTGGAGGTTCATGGGTAGTTATAAGTGGGGCTATAAGTAAGGCAACTGTAGTTATAACCCATATTAGGGGACTTATAACTCCATTTATAACTACCCATGAACCTCCAAGTAGGACGGGAGCCGCAACCCTCTACGCGTTCTCAATTATATCAGTCAAGAGTCTCTCTTGTGCTTGTTTTTTTTGCAATTTCTGGGCTCGTTAAAGTTTTCAGTGGGGCTTTAGGGCTTCAGGCTTTTGGGGTTTAGGGCTAGTCTTCTGGTGTTTTCAGGGCGTCGGGTTTCGGGTCTCGGGATTGGAAGGTCAGGTGTCAGTTGAACTCAGCCTTTCAACGAAAGGACCAGACTGATGTCGGGGCCTGAATAATTAGAATAGGGTTTTGGGGTATACTATACTATACTCTACTCTAGTATAACTACCCCAATATAGTATAGGTAATTATTAAGGCCCCTGTATCAGATACGCCCGGCCCTCACGCGCCTGTCTTTTCGGGGATGAAGTCTGGGAAAACGATGACACCTGGGCAGCACATTCTGGACATGATGGATGCAGGTGCTCAGAACTCAGTGCACCACAGTTCTAGACTACTTATTTTCGTTGCGATGTTAAACTACATCGAAACATTGCGCAAGCACACTGGGGTCAATTCTGCTTGCCATCGAGGTCTGCGGTTACTGGCTTAGATAGAGGGCTTCGGGCATAAAGGGGGTTGGGTCGGAAAAGCAAAGCACCGCGATGCTTGAGGATGACGTCAGATCAGGACGGCCTGGCTTTGGAGGATCTTAACCATCATTATCTGCCCCGCGCCTCAATTTGGGCTTCTCTGTGTGTGTGTGTGCAGTACTCGGAATTGAACGGTGTAGGGATCCAAAAGCAGCCCAGACCTTACCCTAAGCCCTAAACTCTAAACAAAGAGATTCAAACGCTAAACCCTAAACCCTAAACCTTCAGCCCCAAACCCTTAAGCCCTAAACCCTAAAGGCCCTAAACGCCCTAAACCTTTCCCTCTTTTGGAGAAGTTCCTAACGACTTGCAACCGGGAATCGTCCGTCTGCCGGAGAAACCAGGCTCCTCAGGTCTTTCTAAGCTGTTTAGGGTTTAGGGCTTTAGGGTTTAGGGCTTCAGGGTTTAGGACTTTAGGGTTTAGGGTTTAGGTTTTAGGGCTTTAGGCTTTAGGGTTTAGGGTTTAGGGTTCAGGATTTAGGGTTTAGGGTTTAGGTTTTAGGGTGCCATCGTAAGAGGCGTTCAACTCTGGCGGGCGCGTCGGCGCAGCTACCAGGTGCGATTTAAACTCTGGGTGGGCGTGTAGGAGTTGTTAGATTTCGAGAGAGTCCATTCTGAAGTCCCTGAACTGTTGGGGTGCGGCTTGGTTATGGTATTGCCAGTAGATGGGCGGGGCCGGTTTGGCCAAGATGCTTGTAAGCTGCTGAAACTGCCTGAAGATTAGAGTCTGTAAGGGAAGCGTGGGGCGTCCGGAAACCTGCCATACTCATTCATTCATGACATCCGAACTTATAACAGGCTTTGACTCTAACCCCAACATAACGGCGTAGATGTAGGTGAAACCAGGCACCGATGGTCTTGTGGTATTCAGTTTCAGAGGTAAAAGCCTCTAAGCCGTAAAGTAGGACCAGGGCCATGCTGACCACAGAGATTCTGACCTGTGTGCCTACGTTGATTCGGCAAGGTGTGCCTTGGTTTTCATGGCCTCAATTGCTACCTTGCTGGGACCCCCTGGGATTACTCCATGAAACCAGGGATCCGAGATAATTGGCTTCTTCGCAGTTAAGTTTAGGACTTCAGGGTTTGGGGATGTTTGGGGTTTCAGCTCCTGAGCTCTTTCGCAGCTCAGGCGGTCGGGTCGTAGACGGAGGGGCTCGGGTTCGGGTTTGTCGTGCAAGACTATGGGGTTGGGGTTTGTGGCGCAGTTGTTTGTCTAGGCGTTGGGGCCTTGTGGTGAGGGTGTCTGATTTGGTGTGTTTTTTGTTTGAGAGCCATTTCTCTCACTGCTGGCTCCACGGCCTGTGCAAGCAGGCACATCTGATCCGGGCTTGCTGGGGCTTGGAAAACCATGAAATAGAATCCTCCTAGCCCCTATACCCTAAATCCCTAATCCCTACACTCTAAACCTAGACCCCAAACCCTAAACCCTAACCCCTTATAGACCCCATGAATTCGGCTCTCTGGTGTAACTGGGCTCTGTGTACTTTTGATAGCCTTGAAGGCTGGGTCCCAGGCCTCAAATCGAAACGCCGGCACTAACCTCTGATTTAGGGGCTAGGGTTTAGGGTTTAAGG